CGACTTTGGATGTCTCTGCTCTGGACCAGTCTGTGCTCATTTTCAAAGTGCAGTTTTCAAGGGCGTCTTCATCTGGTTGTATTTCTAGGAGGGATGTTTCACTTTCACTCATGTCGTGTACTGACAACGCATGATGGTGCTGTCACCTGTGCTTTCGGGAAAGACTGGAAGCACCAGAAAAGATGGGGTTTAAAAACGTCAACAACCTGAGTTGCCACACGGAGGGCAAAACGAGCTAGCTCTGTGGCCTGCATGGCCCCTCAGGATCCCACGCCTGACGCTGTGTACCTGTGGGGTCACAGCTTATGGCCCCGCACAGGGGGACAGAGCATCCTGGGGCTGGTTCAGTGACATTTGCCGTCCAATGCGGCAGCTTTATATGGACGACTACATTTTTACTGATGGTTTTAGTAGATCTGATACCAGCTAGGCTGTGACCCGTGTAAGTGGTGTTAATATGCTGTTATTTTTAAGTGGGGTGTGCACGGAATCAGGCATATTGTCTTGTCAGCACATTGAATTTAGCCCAGTAAAGGAATTTACAGCAGCACTTCCTTCCTTCTGGAGGCCCTTGGAGAGAATCCATTTCTTTGCTTCTTCCAGCTTCAAGGTGCTGCCTGCATTCCTTGGCTGGTGGCCCCTTCCTGCATCTTCAAAGCCAGCCATCACCTCACTCCGACCTCTTCTTTCATCCTCACTTCTCCTTCTCTGACTCTCCTGCCTCCCTCTTTTCCTTATAAGGACCTTGCTGATGACATTGGGCCTATCCGGGTAATCCGGTAGGTAGGTGTTGCTATTCTCATGTTATGGGTCGGAAAACATGGCTCAAAGGGTCCTTGCTGTTCCTGGTGCCCCATTCCTCTTGAGAACCGTGGATGATGGAATAGCCCGTACTCGTTCTGGGTTTCTCATCACTCTTGTAAGGATCCATTGTGATTAAAAGAAAACTCTGAGCTTTTAAAATGATTATTTTTCTACTCTTTCCTTCCAGTTTTATTGAGGTGTCATTGACATACAGCACTACAGAAGTTTAAGGTGCATAGCATAACGATTTAACTTACAGACATCATGACATGGTGACCACAATAAGTTCCGTGAACATCCATCATCTCGTATAGATACGAAATAAAGGAAAAAGAAAACATTTTTTCCTTGTGATGGGAGCTCAGGATTTATTCTCTTAACAACTCTCGTATACAGCATACAGCAGTGTTGATTATGTTTGCTGTTGTAGGTGTTGTGCATTCCCTCCCTAGTACTTACTTACCTTAAACTAACAATACTGTGAGTGAGATGGTCTCCATTTTTGTTTTTCCTTTGCTTTTTTGTCTACTGAGGTATAATGGCCATACAGTACATTGCACATGAATTGAAAGTGCACAGTTTGATCCGTGCGTGGATCTGCTTCCTATCACTGTAGATTACACTGCATTTTCAAGGACTTTATATAAAAGGAATCACACGGCGTGAACTCTTTTTGCGCCCACAGCCGTGTTGGGATTCATCCTAGTCTTCGTGTGTGTCACTGGTTCGTGCCTTTGTGTTGCCTGGTGGCAGTCCCTCGTTGGTCCGGTCACCTGTGAATGGCCATTTAGCTTGTGTCCAGTTTGGGGCTATGACACGTACAAGCGTTCACGCACGAGTCTGGGTGTGGGCCTGTGCTTTCTTTTCCCCTGTGGTCACACCTCCTAACTGAATGTTGGGCCACGTGGCAGATTGTTTAACTTTTCAAGAAACTGCCCGACTATCTTCTGCCATCGCTCAACCATTTTACACCCCCGCCAGCCATGAATGAAAGTTCCGGTTGCTCTGCCCTTCTAAAGAACCCTTGGTGTGGCCAGTTTTTCAATTCTTGCAATTCTGACATGTGTGTGGTGGTATCTTAGAGAAGTTTGCATTTGCATTTCCTTAATGCCTAAGGATGTGGGGTGTTTTTTCATGTGCATATTTGCCATCTGTATATCTTCTTTCGTGAAGTATCTATACAAATATTTTGCCATTTTTTATTGGACTGTTTGTTTTCATATTATAGCATTTGAGAGTTCTTTATATATTCTAGACAAAAGTCCTTTATCAAGTATGTGATTTGCAAACATTTTCTCCCAGCCAGTGGGCTTATCTTTTCATTCTCTTAACAGTGTCTTTCAAAGAGAAGAACTGAATCTTGATGAAATCCAATTTATTGATTTTTTCTTTTGTCAGTTGTGCTTGTTGTTGTTGTATCTATGAGATTTGCCCAATGCAAGGTGGCAGTGCTTTTCTCCTGTGTGTTCTTATGGACGTTTTATCTATCTAGTTAAGTTTTATATATTCATATTTTACATTTAGGTCAGTGATCCAATTTGAATTAATTTTTGTATAGAGTGTGAGATATGAATCAAAGGTTTTAAAAAAAATATGTACTGGACCATTTGTTTCAGGACCATTTGTTGAAAAAGCTATACTTTTCCCACTGAGTTGCTTTTGCGTTTTTGTTGAAAATCAATTGACCATATAGGCATGAGTCTATTTCTAGACTCTCTATTTTGTTCCATGATCAGTTTTCCATCTTTCCATCAATACCAGGCTGTCTTGATAACTGTAACTTTCTAAGTCTCAAAATCTCAGGTCCTGTGGGCCCTCCATCTTTTTCTTTTCAAGGTTGTTTTAGCCATTCTAGGTACTTTGCCCTTCCACATATTTTAGAAACAGCAGAAAGGGCAACTGTTTGGAAGTAACTCAGGGATTAAATATGACGATTGGGTTTCACAGCGCCCTTTGCCCGAGCTGTTTTGGGGGTGATGGAGGAAGCCAGCCGAGGACGGAGCCGGGGGGGACGTAGGGGCAGGTTTGTGTTCAGTGGAGGGGGGAGGCGGAAGCTAGAGACACACATGGGGTTCAGAGGGGGCAGAGCCCTTTCAAAATGGGGGGATTTTAGTCTGTTAAGATGGAAAGGTTCACATTTCAAGGAAGTAGTCAAACACACAAGAACAGAGAGAGAAATACTAGTGTAGGGTTATTGTGGGGATGGAGGGCAGGCCCCTCCCTCCCCACAGTGGGATGCTGGGGAAGGTATAAATAGTTATAGGGATGGTGAGGGGATTTGATGGGGTTTCTGTCTGATGACATCTGTTTTCTCTGAGGATTAGGGGCTGAGGTCTGCTGAGCAGGGGGAAGTTGAGGGCGGAGTGGTTGGAAGTTTGAGGAAAGTGCAGCAAGGATGAAGTCGTCCACAAAGCAAGTGGGAGAAGGAGTTGACCCGAGAAATGGGGCGGGACCACCCGCAGGCCGGGGATCCTGAGTCACCTTTTCTGAGCTGCTGGGCTGCACCCTGGGAGGGAGAGCCCTGCAGCAGATAAAGCAGGGAGCTGAGCTGGTCCAGGCGAGCATGGGGGGAGTTGGGGGTGTGTGTGCAGGCCGGGGTACGGATGCTGTTCAAACAGCAGTTTGTCTGCATAAGAAAGCAGAGGACTGATGGTTTGGAGAAAGTAAAGGAGTTGGTGCCTGAGCTCCTCTGGGGGGAGCAGTGGGGATGCCTGAAGAGGCTGCGGGATGTGTACTCTCCAGACTCGGGCGTGAATGTCGGGAGGACAAGACCCCGCGTGTGCCTGGGGAGGATGGGGGCACCCAGGGAAAGATCATGGGAGCTGGGGAGTCGAGGGGGCCAAGAGACCAGGAGGCATCCGCGTGGACCCTGACCTTGCCTGAGCGATGGTGGGACCAGGGATGGAGAGGGGGGCTGAGCCAGGAGCCAGGGGCAGGAGAGGACAATGGCAGAGACAGGCTCAGGAGCACGGTTGAGGCGTGAGCTTCAGAGAAGCAGCGTTAGAATTCTCTTCCTCTGACGCAAGAGGTAGCGGTACCAGAAGAGGGTTAAGATTCATGTGAGGGACTCACCCATACATCCCTTCAACAGCTCACCCTCGCGCCAGGGCCGTGGTGCAAAAGGCTTTCAAAATTTTCTTTATTTGTGGGTGAAATTTATTTATTTTTTGAGTGAAAATAAATTGAATGACGGGAGTTAGGCTTGCAATCACAGGGGTAAAGAAAAAACGGAAAGAAAAGAAAGAAAAAGAAAAGTCTATTCACAGTCTAAAAAGTCTAAAAAGTCTAAAAAGAAAAGAGCTATTCACAGTCGTAAGCAAGACTGGCGCATCAGCACATGAATTCTGGAGGCAGATAATGTCTGCTGATCTGTATTCCAGAGACAAGAGAGAGTTCAGGCATTTGGCTGGGTGAAGCAGGGATGCTGGCGACGGTTTTGTAAGACAACACCTGGGACTTGGGCAAACACGATTGTCCTAAGTGGCTTGAGATGTGGACAGAAATGGGAGTTGCACTGGACTTTGGGGTCCCTCAACCCCTCCCTGTTGGACCAGCCTGACTACCAGGAGGCCAGTGAAGTTCCCCAATTCCCTCTGAGAGCCTCTTGGAGAGAAGACTGCCTCATCTAGTCTGGCTTCTCCAGGGAGGGAGCCGGTATCTCAGGTCACTGGGAGGCCGTCCCACAGGGAGATGTGGGTTGTGCTCTCTGATGAGGTACCCCCCCCCCATGCTGCTCTGCTTCCCTATTCCTCAGCCACATCCTTAAGAAGCCACACCTCCCAGTCTCCCCAGTAGGTAATTACATGCGTTATTGGTAAAGCATTAAAGTCACAGGTCAGCCCCTATCAGAACATTTGCTTCTCACATTCCCAGAAGCGGTGCAGTTAAATATTTTTCTTTTTCGGACCCTGGGGGCAAACAAAGAAAATCACTGTTATTTCTTCTGTTGATTCTCCGTGTGAACTCAGGCCAGGGCTGTGTGTGCAGATCTAGGTTCCCGAGGCCATTGGTGCCTTCTTTAAAAAGGCAGCCTCGGGCTTCCCGGGTGGCGCAGTGGTTGAGAGGCTGCCTGACGATGCAGGGGACACGGGTTCGTGCCCCGGTCCGGGAGGATCCCACGTGCCGCGGAGCAGCTGGGCCCGTGAGCCATGGCCGCTGAGCCTGCGCGTCCGGAGCCTGTGCTCCGCAACGGGAGAGGCCACAACAGCGAGAGGCCCGCTTACCGCAAAAACAAACAAACAAACAAACAAAAAACAGATACACAAAATACTGCTCCTTGGCCATAACTAAATGAAGAGTTAGTGAAATAGTGCCTCCATGTACCCGCAGCCTATACGCGCACTTTGAACAGATACCCTGTCTACCAATGTTCCAAAGGGTTTAACCTGGTAGATAATGCTTGCTTGTTGCTTGCCGAGTTGATCAGCGTAGGTTGGGCTGGCATCCGTCTGTGTGAGGTTCATGCAGTATGGAAGCTGTACCATGGCTCCTCTGTTTTCAGGCTGTGCACTTCTCAAGGTTTTGTTGTTGTAACTCATTGGCCATCCACGACTGTGGTGCTTCCCTCAGGGGAGAAGATGCACAGTCACGAAAGAAGACGGGTATTGGAAAAGAATCTGAAAAACAATATATATATATATATATATATATATA